CAGTTCCCAGCACCTACATGGCAGCTTACAACCTCTGTAACTCTAGTTCCAAGGTATCTGATGAACTCTTGTGGCCTCTAAGAGCACAAGGCACATACATACATGCAAGCACTCATATACATAAAATAAAATAAATAAATTCTAAAAAAGAAAGAATACTCCTAGATGTTTCTAGCTGTAACTGGAATGTGATGGCTCCATACAATGAAATACTATTAGGCCAATGAAAAGAATGAAGTACTGAGATAAAGTACACCAAACCTTGACCAACACCAAAGAAACCAGTCACAGAACACCATGTGGTATGTGATTCCGTTGATGGGAATATGCAGAATAGGCAGGTTGGTAGACAGAAAGGCTGGGCGTGGTGGCGCACACCTTTAGTTCCGGCACTCAGGAGGCAGAGGCAGGTGGATCTCTGTGAGTTCAAAGACACCCTGGTCTACATAGTGCCAGGGCCAGCTGGGGCTACAGGGAGACCCTGTCTCAAAAAGACAAAAAAATTTTAAAAAGAAAGCAGATCAGTGGTAGCTAAAATTTAATGTGGGAGATGAGTCACCTGTGGGTGTGGATTTTCTTTGGGGCAGGGTATTCTAAAATTAGATTGTAGTGATGACTTTATATACACAGTCAGTCCTCCATATCTATGGGTTCTATATTGCAGATTCAGTTGACTATGGATAGAAGATAGTCGGCCGAATTTTTTGCGTGTACTGACCACGTACAGACTTTCCTTATCCTCGCTCCTGAACAACATAGTGTAACAGCTATTCACACAGCTTGCATTGTTTTAGGTGTTACAATAATAGAGAGGTAATTTAAGGAGGGTGTGCAAAGCTTCAAGAGTCCATTTTCATGAGGGGTTTGAGCATTTATAGATTTTTGCTTTGTGTTTTGAAACAGGGTCTACCTGTAGCCCCAGCTGGCCAACTCACTACGTAGACCAGGCTGGCCTTGAATTCACTGAGAGATCTCCCTGCCTCTGCCTCCAGAGTGGGCATTAAACGTGCCCACTGGGATTAAAGGTGTGCACCACCACACCTGGCTTACTCAGGATTTTTTTAAGACAGAGTGTACTGTATGTAGCCCAGAGTAACCTCAAACTCACTATGTAGCAGAAGGTGACCTTGAACTTTTAAGCTTCTTGGCCTATGCCCCCCAAGTGCTAGGACTACAGGTCTGTACTACCGTGCCAGGCTAACTTAAAATGACTGAATTTTTTTCTTTCTTTCCTTTCTTTCAGTCTATCTTTCTTTTTTTCTTTTTTCTTTTTGTTTTTTGTCTTTTAAGACAAGGTCTCCTTGTAGTCCCAACTGGCCTGGAACTCACTATGTAGACTAGGCTGGCCTCAACCTCAAGAGATCTGCCTGCCTCTGCCTCCCATGTGCTGGAATTAAAGGCATGTGTGCTCGGCTAAATGGCTGAATTTTACAGTGGGTGTTATCATTTATTCGAAATTAAGAATACTAAACTGGGCGTGGTGGCATACCACTTTAATCCTAGCACTTGGAAGACAGAGGCCGGTGGACCTCTGTGAGATCAAGGCTAGCTTGATAATAATACTAAAATAAAATAAGGATACTAGTTGTGCTGGGTGGTTTCAGTTGTCAACTTGACACACCTAGGAAGAAAGAGCTTTAATGGGGGAATTTCCTTTATTAAATTGATCTGTGGGTATGTCTGTGCGACATTATCTTGGTTGTTGAGTGATGTGGGAGGGCCCAGCCCTGGGCTGATGTGGTCCTGAGTTCAATGAGAAAGCAGGCTCAGCACAGGTCAGGGGAGCAAGCCAGTAAACAGCATTCCTCCATGGTCTGTGCTTCAGTTCCTGTCTCTAACCTCCTGCCTTGAGTTCTTACCCTGAATTCCTTGAAGGTTGGGCTTTGATCAGGAGGTATAAGCCAAATAAACACTTTCTTCCCCACGTTGGTTTTGGTCAGTGTTTTATCACAGCAACAGAGAGTGAACTAATACACTAGTGTACACTAAAGACTGACTGCATGTTTTTGGTGGTGAGCTTTGACTAATCAGGGCCAGGAGAACACCAGAGAGGTTGTCACAGAAGTAAGCTTTGTTGTATGGGGGAGTTGGAGCTGTGAAAAGAACAGCCAGACTTGGAAGGAAGGTTCATGGTAAGGAGAAACTTGAGTGCAATGGGTAAGACCAGATTGGTAGGAGCCTTGAAAGCCAAGAAGGATGTGGGCCTGTGGTATAAGAGATGTGGATAAGGACAGTCATGTAACTAGGTGAACCTAGGTGTGAAGATAGGAAGAGTGTAAACTGGCCACATAGGCTGTGTAGGAGGCTATCCCAGGATGGTGCTCAGGGAGGGAGGATAAAACCGGTTCCTGGGGCGAAGAGATGGCTCAGAGGTTAAGAACACTGACTGTTCTTGCAGAAGACCTGGGTTCGAATCCCAGCACCCACATGATAGCTAACAACTGTCTGTAACTCCAGTTCCAAGGGATCCAACAGCCTCTTCTGTCATCTGTGGGCATTGCATGACACGGGTGCACTTACCTGCATGCAGGCAATACACACACACGCATAAAATAAAAATAATATTGAAAAAAAAATTGGTTCCTGACAGAAAAGAGTTTTGTTGGCAAGTCTGTCAGGACTGATGGGAGGTTGTAGGTTTATGTGAAAGCCCAGAGAGCAGGTCTCAGCAGACAGCAGACAGCAGAGCCCTCTGGGGCAGATCGCCGCCTTTTCTGCTTGCTGTGTAAGCAGGCGGGTGATGCCTGAGTCTGAGAATTTGAGTTCACTGTTGACCAACAGCTGGTGCTGATCACAAGCAGCAAAATATTTAATCAGTGAAGTCACTTGAGGGAAATGAGATTGGATCAATAGGAGTGCCTGCTGTTTTACTTAAGAGTCAAGTCCAAACTGCTTTTCTTCTGCATTTGGCAAAACCACAAACCATTAAAAATAGAAAGAATAACCTACAATAGCTTTTTTTTTTTTTTTTTAAGCCAGCTATGTTGCCCCTGTAGACCAAACTCACAAAAATAAATGTGTGCTAGTCTAGTGGTCTCCAAACCCTTTTGGAGCAGCTCCCCTGCTTCTGATGACCCAGTATTTAGGAAAGGGGTTGACACAGAACGACACCTGAACCCCCTGGAGCAAGAAACACTTTCAGTCCTCTGGGGCCTAAGGTTTCCAGTGGAAACCTGTGGAGCACCTCAGAAAGAGCAGAGCTGTAACCCACTGGTACAGCATTTGCATAGCTTATGCAAAGCCCTAAGTTCCACACCCCCAGCACTACAAAAGGGGTAGGGGGTGGGAGCAGACATGCTAGTGCTAGCCCTGAGCTATACAGTAAGTTTGGCATCAACCCGGGCTTCATAGCAAGACCCTGTCTCAGAAAACAAAAGTATCGGTATAAGCTAGATGTGCACACCTCTAATCCCAGGACTCTGGAGGCAGAAGCAGGTGAATCTCTGTGAGTTTGAGGCCAGCCTGGTCTACATGGTGAGTTCAGCCCAGTCAGGGTTACATAGTAAGACCCTGTCTTAAGAAAGTCTGGGTATGGTAGCATACAACTGTAGAATCCCCATGTGGCAGAGGCAGAAGCAGGATGCTCCCCACAAATTTGAGGCTAGTCTGGGCTACACAGCCAGTCTCTGTCAAACAGACCCAAGTAAATGCATTGAGGGATGGAGTAAAGGGCAAAGGGAATCCAGGAAGGAAGACCATAAGGGACTGTCCTTTAATCTACAAGCATTTAGTGAGCAACTCTTCGTGACACATCCCACCATCTCACTAGACTGGGGGTGAGAAGTGGCTTCCAGAAAGACATTTTTGCCAGGCTGAACACTCATGAACACCTGGAGAGAGAGTGAGAGGCAAAGGATGGAGCCCTACAGGGCACATGGGCGCTAGGAGTCAGAATGGGTCAGGGAAGCAAGCTATTTCAGAAGCTTAGGCACCTGTGACAAGGTCCTTTGAGCGTGGGCAGGGCCAGCATGAGGGGCACCCCGGTGCATATTCTACTAGTGGAAGGGGCCAGTCACATATTTGAATACCCTGAAAGAACAGAAACGTCCCTCCTTCTTCACAGAAGGGGCATGGATGATTACTAGCAATGTTAGAAGACAGGACTTCCTGACGACATGAGTGAGTCAGCGCACCATGAGAGGGTTGAGTGCTCTCCATAGCATCAGATCTTGGGTGTCTGGACATGCTGGCGAGTTCAGCACTTTTGCTCAAGATGGTGAAAGAGGTGGCCGGTGGCTATGTACATTGTGTCACAGGGAGGAAGGTGGGGTGCAGAAGAGGGTGAACCCAGGCAGTGGATGAGAAAGGGGCTTTATGTGTACCATGTCTGCTGCCAGAGCAGATGTGCTATTGTGGCAGCTGCAGGCTCCATTCCTAACACAGGCAAAGGCTCCAAGGCCTTGGGCCTAGCACCTGTTCACTGGAGGCTCCCCTAAACTGACCTCTCCTTGGCTGTCCCTTCCACACAGGCATCCGTATGGCTGGAGGGCCAAGCCCCCACTCTTGCTGAGTCATGCAGACCCAGAGTCCAGGTTGACAAAATGCCTGCCCTTGTCTTGGGTGGGGACTGCTGGGTTTGTGAGGCGTGGGGCTTGTTCACTAGGGAGAGGGGTGAGACCAACAAGGCCAAAAAGGAATGGGGTGTTCCTGTAGGAAGTGGCTGTTCTTGGCAAAGATCTGAGCAGCATGTGGGGAGGGGGCATTATTCTGGAAGGAAGACCTTTCCCCTTAGGATGGAGGGAAATGAAACACTGCTTAATGCTGCTGCAGCTGCTTCCTAACTGCCTCTTTCTTCTTTGACTTGTGGAGGAATGGGGTGGAAGAGAAGAGCTGAGAGTCCCAGGCAGCCAGTCGTTTCCAACTGGCACACATTCCAGTCCCAGCTCTGACCTTGAGTGAGGCCTGGCCAGCGCAGGTGCCCTATGGCTAGCCTAACTTCCCCTCTCTCCTCCTCCTTTCCTCTCTTGGCTTTTCTTCCTGGCCCCTGTGGGTGGCTGCAGCTCAGCCCTGGGGAGCCCCTGTGGAAGTGGAGTCCCTTCTGGTCCACCCTGGTGACCTGCTGCAGCTGCGTTGTCGGCTGCGGGACGATGTACAGAGCATCAACTGGCTGCGGGACGGGGTGCAGCTGGTGGAAAGCAACCGCACCCGCATCACAGGGGAGGAGGTGGAGGTGCGGGATTCCGTCCCTGCTGACTCTGGCCTCTACGCTTGCGTGACCAGCAGCCCCTCTGGCAGCGACACCACCTACTTCTCCGTCAATGTCTCAGGTTGGTAGCAAAGCCCTCTCCCCATTCACTTCTCTGATTCTTATCTGCTAGTTTCAAGAGGAGGTGAGCCCCCTTACCTTCCGTGACCTGCCCCTATTCTGCTTCAGAAACTGCTGCCCACTAACCTTGCTCCCTGCCCGCTGCGTGGCTTAGCTCTCAGAGGCTGACCAAGTGGGATGGAGGCTAGGCCAGTGACGTGGGGCTGCCAAGACCTACCTCAGAGGTGATTACTGATGCTTTGGGGTGTTAAGACCCTACGATTTCCCCACCACAGCTTGCCCGGATCTCTGGATGCTAAGTGGGGCTCAGTCAACTTCCGTCTAGTCAAGGCCTGGCCTTAGTGCATACGGTGACGTTCCCACAGTTGGGAAGGACTCAGACAACTGTCATGTCCACAGACTTTGTGGAAACACTTGTTGTCTAGCTAGTGGAGCTATAAGAGCAGCCAGGCAACCCTAGAGCTCTTCTGGTCCTGGGAATCTGCTTCTTTTAGAATGCCACTTTCATAAAACTACGATCCAAGGAAGTTGGAACATATTCCATCTGTGCACTCCAAGATGTGGGTTTGGTACCTTCTTCCAGGCATCATTTAGAACCTGTCCCCAGTTGAGGGATTCGCTTTCTTTATGCCCCTCCAGACTCCGAAGAGGACAGGGAGGGCTGAAGAAACCTTTGGTATGAGCCCTGTTGCTGACCACATGGTGTCAAAACTCTTCTTAAATGGGGTACATCCTTGTTGTGGAGTGGTATTGACAGTTGGAGGTTCCTATCTGCTCTGGTTAAGAAAGGCAGCTCTCTTGGGGCTGGAGAGATGGCTCAGCAGTTAAGAACACTGACTGTTCTTGCAGAAGACTGGGGTTCGAATCCCAGCACCCACATGGCAGCTAACAACTGTCTGTAACTCCAGTTCCAGGGGATCTGACGGCCTCTTGTGCCTGCCGTGGGCATCCCATGAAATGAGTGCACTTACCTACATGCAGGCAATACACGCATACACATAAAATAAAAATAATAAATAAAATAAAAAAAAGAAAGACAGCTGTTAGCCCTCAGAAGATCCTGATTGTGTGTTGTTCGGCCTATGGGTTTAGAAGTAGCTTCAGGGCTCAGCGTGGCATGCCTGCCTGGGTTTCTCAATGGTTGATGTCCAAAGGATGCAGGTTCCTTTGCTGCTATTGTAGGTGCCCAGGTGAGCTGAGAGACTTTGGGTACAAGCTAGAATAGAAAGAACAGCTGGCTCTGCTGGCACTGTCCAGGCAGAGGGCAGCGCATTGGGCTAGGATGAGCACTAGAGCATGCAGTTCATAGAGAGGTTGTCATAAGAGAAAAATCTGGAAGAACCGGAGTCCTTATGGGGTAGGGTGGCCATATTCACCTGTGGCTGCTCTACGGTGGTCTTTATAGGCTGACTGCTCTTTGGATGGAAATCTAGACATGCTCAGTAGTACCTCAGTGCCCACCCCTTTCTTCCCACAGATGCACTCCCCTCCTCAGAGGATGATGATGATGACGACGACTCCTCCTCAGAGGAGAAAGAGACAGATAACACCAAACCAAACCGTAGGCGTGAGACACAGTTTCCTCTCTTACTGCCTTTGAGACGTAGGAATTGAGACTAAGTGGGGAAGCCTGGCTAAAGTGGGAGGAGAGAGGCTTAAAAGGCCTGTGGGCCATGAAGGTGCCTGACTGCTGTCCCTCTAAATGGCTTGATAAACACTGGACATGTAGATGTTGAGCAGATGGGCGAGGTGCCTGTAGGCCTGTCTGGCCCTTGCTTCTGAGCCTGGCCACTCCCACACCCTCACCTGTCTCTCTTGGCTTTCCTGGACAGCTGTAGCTCCATACTGGACATCCCCAGAAAAGATGGAAAAGAAACTACATGCCGTGCCGGCTGCCAAGACTGTGAAGTTCAAATGCCCATCCAGTGGGACACCCAACCCCACTTTGCGCTGGCTGAAAAATGGCAAAGAATTCAAACCCGACCACAGGATTGGAGGCTATAAGGTACATGTATAGATACAGATCACAGAAGTTAGAGTTGGGTGGAAGACGCTGGGACAGAACTTTTTTTTTTGGAAGGAGGCAGAAACTCTTATGCCTATATTGTTTGGCTTTCATTGTTTTGGGTGTATTTTGTTGTTTTAGATGGTTTTGTTGGTTTGTTTGCTGGGGATTGAACATAAGGCATTGTATGTGCCACTGAGCTACAACACTTTAAAATTATAATGTTAATAATACTTTAAACATTTTCAGCCGGGCGTGGTGGTGCATGCCTTTAATTCCAGCACTCCGGGAGGCAGAGGTGGACGGATCTTTGGGAGTTCAAGGCCAGTCTGGTCTCCATAGTGAATCCAGGCCAGCTGGGGCTACAGGGAGACCCTATCTCAAAAAGAGCAAAAAAAGAGAAAACTTTCAGATGCCAAGATTTAAGTTCTTTAGAGTTTAGATTTTTATTTTTACAGTTAAACACATTTTATATAGTTTCTTATCATTTGTTAACATGAGTATTTGTGTTATTTCAAGCATGAACATTTGAAAGAGTTTTTCATTGGTGTATAAGATTCAAGTTATAAAAGTCTCCCATCATTTAATGAGCTTTTCTTAAAAAATATTTTGTTTATTAGCTTTATTTTATATGTATGAGTGTATTGCCTGCATGTATGTGAGGGCACCCATGTCGTGCAATGTTGTGGAGGTCAGAAGAGGGCTTCGGATACCATGGAACTGAGTCAAGGACTGTTCATAGCCACCATGTGGGTGCTGGGAATTGAACCCAGGTCCTTTGCAAGAGCAGTCAGTGCTCTTAACCGCTGAGCCATCTCTCCAGCCCTAATGAGCTATTTTTTGATACTAGGTATTTTACAGATTTTTGTAATGTAAGTAATGTTGCTATAAATCTTCATCTGCATTTTTTTATATTAATTTTTTGTTGGTAAGCCATCTCACCCATCCCTTTATCAGTGTTAGTTGGGAGTGGAGGAAAGCTTGCAGGAGTCAGTCCTCTCCTTCTACCTTGTAGGTCCCATGGATCAAAGTCAGGTTGTCAGGCTTGGTCCAAGTGCCCTTACCCACAAGCCATCTCATCAACCCTCATCAGCATTTTAAAATGATCTTCCGTTTGCTCCTTCTTTTCTTTGCTAGGGGTTGAACCCAGGGCTTTTGTGCGTACTAAGCACACAGCATTGAGTTACATCCTCAGCCCCCAAGTTATAGCGGGGAAAACCTGTCACCTTCCCATAAGACTATGAGTGACACAAGCTCACTAGACATTTGCCAACAGATTCAGCAGGTCAAAGTGTTTCGTTTCCTCCAGTGTTTTGTTTTACTGATTAACAACATTAGACATTCCTGGTGCTGCTAAGCAGGCCCCCCCCCACCCCCCCCCCCCCCCGCGGTGTGACTTGTCTGCGGACTCCTTTGTATTTGGAGGAAGACACATTGATGAGACTCCTTCTTCAAAGATCTGGCCATCCCCCTAGTCCGGTGTGCCTCTCACCTCACCTAGCTTCCCTCTCTCATTCCTTTCTGCTTTTCTCAAGACAGTGTTTCTCTATATACCTCGGGCTGGCCTGGAACTCACAACTTGCCATCTCGGCCTCCTGAGTCCTGAGGTCATGGGCATGTGTCACCGTGCATGGCTTCTCATCACTCATGTAGAAGAAAAGGAGAGGGAATCAGAATGACTGTGGAAAGCTTTAAATGAGTCCTCCGACTGCTTACTGTCTGCAAGTTACTGCGCTTCAGCTGGGACAGGGCAGCATTCTGGCCCATAAAGACCTTAGCCTAATAAGAGGGCAGATGTCTAAGAGCAGCCATGGTGCGGCCACAGCCAGTGCCTCAGCGGGAAAGCAGAGGAAAAGCTGAGTACAAATCTGACCAGAGTCGGCTGGAGGGGGGACACAGAAATTTTTTGATGTTTATTTTTTTATTATTATAATATATATTTACTTTGACTTTGTGTGTGTGTGTGTGTGTGTGTGTGTGTGACTTTGTGTGTGTGTGTGTGTGTGTGTGTGTGAGAGAGAGAGAGAGAGAGAGAGAGAGAGAGAGAGAAACCCAGCCTCCCTGACCCCAGTAGCCTGGAGCTTGCTATGTAGACCAAGCTGGACTTACTCTCACAAAGATTAACCTGCCTTTACCTCCTGAGTGCTAGGATTAAAGGTGTGTGCCACCACACCTGCCTTAATTTTTTATTACACGTTGTTGTGTGTGTGTGCATATGTACACATACGTGCATACCTCTGGAAGTCATAGAATCACGTGAGACCTGGGGATTGAACTCAGGTTGTCAAGGTTGGTAACAGGTGCCTTTACCCATGGAGATCTCTTGATAGTCCCAAGGAGATAGGTGTGTTTGTTTTTAAAAATATTTTATTATTTTATGTGTATGAGCGTAGTGCCTACACGTAGTTAAGCGCACCTGTGTCCTCCAATGCCCACAGAGGACAGAGACTGTCAGATCCCCTGGAACTACAGTTATGGACAGTTGTTAGCTGCCATGTGGATGCTGGGAATTGAACCCAGGTCTTCTGCAAGAACAGTGTTCTTAACCGCTGAGCCATCTCTCCAGCCCCCAAGAGATACGTTTTAAATGAGGTATCCAGGAGATGAAACATGAGGTATCAGGAGAAACGAGGTAGCAGGAGAGACATGTCAGATATAGGGATGAAACTGGTGGACATGGAGAAGATTCCCAGTGAGCTTGGGAAAGTTTGCAGAAGGCACATGTGTCCAGGTCATGGTTGCTCCTGAGTGCCACAGTAAAGGTACCCAGAGTCACCATGCAGGTCTTCAGGGTATGTTCTGAGCACAGGACCAGAGCTAGGTCCTGTGTGCTTTGTTTGGTTCCCAGTGCAGCACTGACCATGTCCCGCTTCTTCCCACCTGGTGGCGGGGGAGGGGGAACGGCACACACAGGGGCCTGCAGTACTCTGGCTTCCCGTGTTCTCCCCCAGATCCTCAACAGAGCCCTTTGTCCTGCAGGTCCGTTACGCTACCTGGAGCATCATAATGGACTCCGTGGTGCCCTCTGACAAGGGCAACTACACCTGTATCGTGGAGAATGAGTATGGCAGCATTAACCACACCTACCAGCTTGATGTTGTGGGTAAGAAGGCCAAGGCCTTGGTGGCAAGAGGCAGTAGAGGAAAGGAAGGGGTGGGCAAACACAGCTGTGGATCCCCGGGGTGGAATCTGGGCAGTGTTTGGCATTTACACCTCACCCTCAGCCTCCCTTTTCTGTCTTCTGAGATAGGGTCTCACGCTCTAGCACAGGCTGCCTTGGAACTCATAGACTAGCCTTGAATTTATGGTGATTCTCCTGCCTCGAGCCTCACATTTCTAATCTGTAAAGCAGTGATGAGGGTGAGATGGGAATGTTTCTCAAAGCTGTAGGGCACCTAGAAGCAGAAGGTGCTATAGGTAGCCTGTCCTGAAAACACGGCTGGGGCAGTAATAAGAAATCCAGCATAACAGTAGCTGTGAATGCCACTAAAATGCCGGGGCTCTTTAAATTCTGTCTCTGCACTTTGTCGTTGTGTCCCTGCAGTAGAGGCACAATTCCACTAGCTGTAGCCAAGAGCATACACTGAGGTGCAGAGGAGCCAGGGGCCCTGGAATGCAGAATCATGGGCAGTGCCCAGTTGGCGACATCCCTGGAGATTCCAGGACTGACCTTCTAAAGGTTCTGGGTCTCCTGAGATTGTATACCAAGCCTCACAGCTAACAGCCACCTTCACTTTGAGGTCTAGGAAGAAGATTGCGGTCTGGGAGGTCTGGGGTAGGGCCTAAGTCTGAGAAGCTCCTCTGTAATATTGGCACCACTGCTCCTGAGCCATGCTGGAATCTGGGGATGTGACTAAAGTATGACGTATTCTATTTAGACGAGAGATGGTTGTGCCTGTAAATGTGGTACATTGCTGGGGAGCTAGAAGGGATGGGTGTCCATTCTCTCGGCTCAGGTTCAAAGGGCTGGAACTCGGCAGAGGCACTGGGAAGGTCATTGCCAGTCACCAGCAAAACTGGGGGACCAGTATATGTGCACCTTTCAGGATGATGATCCCTCTGTCAGCATCCCAGCCAGGATCAGATCATTTCACGGTCCGATGAGCCTATCCTCTCCCTTCCTCCACAGAGCGGTCCCCTCACAGGCCCATTCTGCAGGCAGGGTTGCCTGCCAACAAGACAGTGGCCCTGGGCAGCAATGTGGAGTTCATGTGTAAGGTGTATAGTGACCCACAGCCCCATATCCAGTGGCTAAAGCACATCGAGGTGAATGGGAGTAAGATTGGCCCGGACAACCTGCCTTATGTCCAGATCCTGAAGGTAATCTTGGCCTTGTTCTTCCGGGGCCAGTATGTGTGCTGGGGATGACCAGTGTCCCCTGTGTCCCCTGGGGGCTCAAATTCCTCTGCTCAGATTCAGTGCCTGTGATTAGGGCTCTGCCTTAATCTTCAAGCACACACTCCATCTGAGTAAGGATCTAGCCACAGGCTAGTGACAGCACAAAGAGGTGGTGAGCTGGAAACGGGGCGGGTAGGCAATGTTGGTTGCTGGTTTCTAAAGAGCTCTGAGAGCAACTCCTAGGGCTTCTGGGTCTTTTGGGTCGGTTACTCAAGGAAGGCATTTGGACTCTTGCTTGTTTGTGGCCCAGGACCAAAGCCTTCCAACAACAAATGTTTCTCAATGTCCCCTTTGCTTGTTTCCCAAGTTACAGTCTTTTGGCAAACGAGGTGAATGCTAAGTGTGTTGCTTACGTAGTTAGAAAAGTAAATGCCACCTATAAATTCTAAGCAGCATGAGAAGTAATGGCACTCTCTTCCCTTTTCCTCTCACCCCCAGACTCTCATTGTGTCTGAATGCTCCATTAATCCAGGGAGGGAATTGGCTAAGTCTCCAGTGGATCTTGCAACAGGAAGTAACCAGAAGTTAGACCTCACCCTCCCCTGCCTTGGCTGTCCTAAAGATTTACTGGCTGTCCCTTCTTTGCCACTGGTGCTGAAAGCGCTTTGGGGCTTGGAGCCCTGTCTCCATTTACAGCCCTCACCCAGTCCTGGAGGGGGGAGTTTGACACACAGAATGTTGGCTTTGACACAGTGATTCCACCTCTCCCCTTCCTAGCTTCCCCCTCGCCCCCCCGTCTCTTTTTTCTTTTTCCTTTCCGCTTTTGACCCCCCCCCCGCCCCCCCGGTCTCTTTTTACTATTTCATCCCTCCGTTTCTTTTCTCAATCAAATGTGAGGCCAGCTCATTTTGTCCCACTCAGAGGGGAAGGTTGTAAGTCTCAGTGTCTCCTTTGTCTTGGCTCCCTGGGCCTGCCTAAAAGTTACCCTGGAGCAGAGTATGGCCACATCTCCACGTTTGCCCAACTGACTGGTGTGTCGTTGGTTTGTTCCAGCATTCGGGGATTAATAGCTCGGATGCGGAGGTGCTGACCCTGTTCAATGTGACAGAGGCCCAGAGCGGGGAATATGTGTGTAAGGTTTCCAATTATATTGGTGAAGCTAACCAGTCTGCGTGGCTCACTGTCACCAGACCTGTGGCAAAAGGTAATGGGGAGATGGTCGGGGCCCTGTACTGGGAACTTGATTTAGGCCCCACACTGCTGGGGCAGGTTGGGAAGCCAGCGCCAACTCTCCCTGTCTCCTGCTGTGTTCTTAATGCCCAGAGCCATGGAAAAATGCCTGGCCTGGGAGGCTGGTTTGGTTTGGTACTGTGTTGGCTATCTGTGACTGCCTCTGTGCCTAATGTGTTTTCCTTGGTATAGTGTGTGTGTGTACCTGGACTTGTGAGACAGTCTTTTGTGTTAGCAATGATACTTCAGACTGAAATTTTGAATGATGGTTAGAAAAAAGGATCAGGCATTCTCTTTCAAACCGGCAGGCTGTGTGTGTGTGTGTGTGTGTGTGTGTGTGTGTAGACAGCCTGCCCTTCCTTCCCTTCTGTGTGTACCCTCTAACTCTCTTTACCTAAAACCAAACAGCCCCCTATCCACCAGGCCCCATTTCTCCATGCTGCCCACCACCCGCATGCTTGGCTGGGCCAGTGGCTGCCAGCGTCTGGTGATGGGTCGTAACCAGCAATCATCTTCTCAGGTCCGCCGGAGCTCCTCCCTCGGGGCCTCACTCTTTTCCTCTAACAGGTCTCGCTGCCTGGTGGTTTTTGTTTGTTCTTATTGCAAAGGAGACGCTGGGGAGCATTTCTGCCTCTGGTTTTGGTGCCCTTCTTTCTGCCCACTGTTTCTGCCTCTCTGAGGTCTCATGTCCTTTGCTTGTCCATTTTGCTTCCGTTGTCTCTTCTAGACTGCTGGAGTTAATACCACCGACAAAGAGATGGAGGTGCTCCACTTACGAAATGTCTCCTTTGAGGATGCAGGGGAGTATACGTGCTTGGCGGGTAACTCTATCGGACTCTCCCATCACTCTGCATGGTTGACCGTTCTGGAAGGTATACACTGCACTCATCTTTTCCATGTCCTGCCCCTGCCATAGGCATGAGGGAGCAGAGCATGCATTGCGGGGCTAGGGAGCGTCAGAGAGGGATGGCTCCCACCCGCCCCATGCCCTTTTCTGCTCCAGCTTCGAGGCACACGTGGGGGCCCCTGGCTTTTCAGGAAGGAATGTGGCAACCTCCCTGAACACCTGTATCTGGCTCTCCCTGGCCAATGCAATGCATGCATGAGCTCTGGATTTACCTTGCGGCAGAGCTTTCCAGTGCTGGTTCCTTCCATCCTTGGGTGTGACGTCTTCCCTCATCCACTTGGTCCCAAAGGTGTGAATTACCTGGACCTTTTCTCCCTGAGCACAAGCTCTTGGCCAACAGGGCCTCACTGCCTCCATGGAGTGTTGCTTTCATCTGCTACACTCAGGCCTGGACAGTGAACTTGAGCTGCCTTGAGAAAGGCCTGTCTTGGCAGCACAGGAGGCCTGATGGTGCTCATCTGACCTCTGTGGCCATCCCTCCTGTCCTCCCATCCCAAGCAGGGAGATCTGTATCTCTGTATGAGCCAAGAAGGAAGGTGCCTGGAGCCTGCAGCCTGTGCAGGGTGGTGGGCTGGTAGCCGCCGGGCCGCTGTGGTTGTGCCTGCATCTCTGAATGTCCTGCATGTGGCCCGGGCGCTGCTCTGTTCTGTGCTGCTGACGGCATTCCTTCTCTTCTCTCCCCGTCCACCTCACTTGCCCAGCAGTGCCTCATGCCCTGCTGGTAGCAATGAAGCATCCTGTTTTTATTAGTACCACTGTCTCTGTTCTGTCTGTGCTCCCCGTGAGTCATCTTCATTCCCTGACACTAGGGAAAAGAAAACAGAACACTTTTCCCGCTCAGTTCTGCTGGTTCCTCGTTGGGGTGGGAGGACTCCCAGGGTGTGGCCTCCTTTTTGGCTGGCTGGGGTATTTTAAAGGGGAGGACTGTAGGAGGCGGACTGTGTACCTCCAGGGCAAGGAGGTTTCACAAGGCAGGCACTGTCATGCTGAAGGGAAAAAACAGACCAACTGGCAAGTGGGAATGGGTGTGAATTTTAAATGGAGGTGAAAGAGGAGAGTAAAATAATGCCCTCCACCCCATTTTCTTACATTTTAAGAGTTTTATGGGGTTGTAAGCAGACATCTTAAAAACTTCAAAAAATAATCTTTTTTTCATCTAGAAACATGTTTTGAAATTAGTTTTGCCTGTGGGTTAGCCAGATGTAAACATTTACTTATCTGACCTGACAGAGGTGACAGGCTTCGTCAAGGCACAGTGACTACTATGCCCCTTCACTGGTCCTTACTCGGAATGCCATCATGTGTCATGTCCTTCGAGGACCCTTAGGTCCTTTAGGAACAAAGACTCAGCAGTAGCCTGTCTCCATGTAATATATGTGCATAGCATTGAGGCTCTGCAGGGACTGCTAGTCATGCGAAAGGGACTTCTTAGCTGCTTCTTTTGGGTCTCTGGTGCCCATCTGGCCCAGAGTGACCTGAGAAACGAAGCCCTGGAATGATGAGGCTGGGACTTAAGTATCAAGAGTCTGGACCTTGCCCTCTGGGCTTTCAGTCAGTTTGAGGCTGCCTCCAGAGGTCCCAAGGTGACTGGTCCCCTTGATGCTGGAATCCCAAACTTGGCTGGGATCTGGTGGATTCTCCTCCAAGTCTCCAGGGGAAAGGAGTAGATACTGGGAATGCATGGGGCATTCCCCTCATGGATGGGCAAGGTACCCATAGCCGCTGACACCCTGTCCACACTGACTCAGCCCTGGAAGAGAGACCAGCCGTGATGACTTCGCCCCTCTACCTGGAGATCATCATCTACTGCACTGGGGCTTTCCTTATCTCCTGTATGGTGGGCTCTGTCATCATCTACAAGATGAAGAGTGGCACCAAGAAGAGCGACTTCCATAGCCAGATGGCTGTGCACAAGCTGGCCAAGAGCATCCCTCTGCGCAGACAGGTAACAGAAAGTAGATGGGGGGTTTGCAGCTCACCATTACCTTCTCTCCTTGAGCCTCTAGGGCCTGCTCCTGTCGGCCCTCCTGGCTGTTCCTTATCCAACACTTCGGGGTTTGCTCTGACTTCTGGGCCAGGCATACTGGAACATTATAAACTGAATCTGGCTCCATGCTGGTCTACCCTGTACCCCAGCTGCAAAGGCCTTGTTCATCCACCTGAGACATGGTGATGGTTTAGAAGGTGTAGGTGTATGATAGAGGGTCTCAGAACACTGCTGACCCAGAAAGGTGCCCTTGGGGGTTAAGAATTCCTAATCTGAGACAGAGACTTTGCAAATATTTGGGATAAGAAGAGAGTTGTTATTTGATAAGTTATAAAACGTTCGACTGAAGAGGTGTATTCAAGTGTGCTCATTGAATAAGTGAAGCTCAGAAAGACTTTTGATAGTGGAGACCACTCAGTCCTAGAACTAGGGTCTTCCGACCTCACCTTCCTGCCGCCCTGTGCTAGGGACAGAAACAAACCTATGCTGTGGTTTTGGGAAGCATCTGTCACCACTTCCCCTTCTCCTTGCTAGAAAGGTGACCCCACTCTTTTTTGTAGGTGTCAGCTGACTCCAGTGCCTCCATGAACTCTGGGGTTCTTCTGGTTCGGCCTTCACGACTTTCCTCCAGTGGGACTCCCATGCTAGCTGGTGTCTCTGAATACGAGCTTCCTGAAGATCCTCGCTGGGAGCTGCCCCGAGACAGGTAGCACTATGACAGCTCCACTTTCTAAGGCCCCTCCTGCTTGTTCTAATGGTGGAAGTTTTGTATACTGAGACCATCTAGGTAGTGAAAGTGCATGAGATGCCTCCAGAAATAACCCTTCCACGCCATGTTCTTGGTTGGGTGAACTACTGGGAGGTGGGGATGAGCTGGCCTAGAAAGATTTGACCTTACCAGCCCCAACTGTCACTGTCTGTTTTCCCACAAGACTGGTCTTAGGCAAACCTCTTGGAGAGGGCTGCTTTGGACAGGTGGTATTGGCAGAGGCCATCGGGCTGGACAAAGACAAACCCAACCGTGTGACCAAAGTGGCTGTGAAGATGTTGAAATGTAAGTGACCCTTCCACCCTTCCAGGGCAAGCTGGGCCTGGGCCACATACAAAACTGTCTGTGGTGGTTTCATGGCCCGTGCCTGCCAAAGTGCCCATAGGGGTTTTCTGGGGAGAGTTGCACAGTGCATCCGAGATTGCCGTAGTCTCACCTGCTCCTTGATACCGACCTGGGCTATACTCAAGTGCTCATTCTAGTTCCATGACTAGCTGATTTTCCTCACTGTCTCTCCAGCCACACACAATACCACATATTGTAGCAATAGCTCCTGCAACAGAACTATCTGGATGAGAAGTGGGGGGTGAGCAGCAGGTCTTGGAGAAAAGAGGCTCTGCAGGGATATACTCCCCCAGTCCCCAGCCTTAGCTGTCCTCCCCACCTCCCCCCACCTTCCTCATCTCACTCTCTGGTTTGTATGTGAAGCTGATGCAACAGAGAAGGACTTGTCAGACCTGATCTCAGAGATGGAGATGATGAAGATGATCGGAAAGCACAAGAACATCATCAACCTCCTGGGGGCCTGCACGCAGGATGGTAAGTGGCTCCTGGGGCAGATCCGGGCTCTGGGTCCTAGCTGAGAAATAAGCCCAGCAAGGGGTTGAATGTGTTTCTCAGGGATTGGGCTGGCCTTATTGGTATTCGTCCAGGAATACTGGCACCTAGATTCAGTGTGTGGTGTCTACATTAGGGCTCTTACCTTCAACTTTACTTTGGAACTTTCTGGACTATGCTGGGAAGAATTTTCTGGCTTTCTTTGAGTAGAAGAATGACTTTCCTCTTCCTTCCAAGAGGAGGCGAGAAGGAGGTCACAGGAATGGGACACAGCTGGGGTGTGACCTGGGCTTCCTCCAGCCTCTACCCCTGTGCTCTCAGGTCCTCTGTATGTCATTGTGGAGTATGCCTCCAAGGGCAACCTTCGAGAGTATCTGCAGGCCCGGAGGCCCCCTGGGCTGGAATACTGCTACAACCCCAGCCACAACCCTGAAGAACAGCTGTCCTCCAAGGATCTGGTATCCTGTGCCTATCAGGTGGCCCGGGGCATGGAGTATCTTGCCTCAAAGAAGGTGTGTAGCCTGAAGGCCTCCCCTTAGAAGGCAGGGTGGGATCAAGCCCTCCTAGGACTCTAACTTATGACTGGCTTTTTTGAGACAGAGTCTGACTGTGTAGTCTATACTGGCTTCAAGCTCACGGTCCTTCCCTCTCAGTCCCTCTAGTGCTATACTTGTATACGATCACACACCTGGCTCCAGTTTATGACTTCGTCCTTTAGAGCTGTGGATGCACTGAGCTCCGACCGCTTGTGCTGCCTTGGGCTCTCAGGAAACTTGAGTCTGGAGAGCCCCTGTAGCTAAGTAGCCAGGGCATCAGATTGAACTAAGTTCAAATCTTTACCACTTCATTTTCTGCATAGCCTCAGACAGCTTTTTAGTTTGTTTTTTTTTTTTTATTTGTCTTTTTGAGACAGGGTCTCCTTGTAGCCCCAGCTGTCCTGGAACTCACTATGTAGACCAGGCTGGCCTCGAACTCACAGAGATCTGCCTGCCTCTGCCTCCCGAGTGCTGGGATTAAAGGCGTGCGCCACCACCACGCCTGGCCTTTTTTCTTTTTTTTTGAGATAAGATCCCATTAAGGCTGGCCTCAAATTCATTCTGGTTGGCCTTGAACTCCTGATCATTCTGGAGGATCGGGCTTAGCACATACACCCACACAGACCGAGCATATAGGTTAAAAGATCTGCCTTTTGGGATGTAATCTGAAAGACAGGAATTAGGAAGACCAAGAAAGGAGGCCTAAAGGAGGGCTTTGCTAAAGTGACTGAGAAGTCCATAGCTGAAGAGATTCAGAGAAAAGGAAAAGAACATTTGGGGTGGGGGAGACTGTCTAGAGAGTATGAGGTGGGAGTGGGGACAGAAGACCCATGAGGTAAAGTGGGCTGCTGCCAGCTGCAGATTGAGTGCTAGAGTGGAGGGGACTAGATGGCTGGGTGGAAGGGCATTGGTTCAGGGTTGTAAACACCACCCCCCACCCCCACCCCCCCGTCTGCAGTGCATACACCGAGACCTGGCTGCCAGGAATGTCCTGGTGACAGAGGACAACGTGATGAAGATTGCAGACTTTGGCCTAGCTCGAGACATTCACCACATCGACTACTATAAAAAGACTACCAATGTAGGTTCCTTGCTGGGCATGGCCTGTGCGCTGGGCACTGCTGCACCAGGCTTTTACCCACTTAGATGTCTTTGCTGTAGGATGGGCTAAACTGCATACATTGTGCCCTGGGTCCTACCCATCATGCCCTACTTGTCCCCTCCCTGCCCTGAGCCATCCTCAGTTCATCCCATGTGTCCCTCGAATCATGCCCCACCCCCACTGCTGCTTGCAGGGCCGGCTGCCTGTGAAGTGGATGGCACCTGAGGCATTGTTTGACCGGATCTACACCCACCAGAGTGACGTGTGAGTTTGAAATATGCAATTACCCAGGATACGTGGGGGAGAAAATTCTAGCAGAGTCCCTGGACTGAAGAGAACGTCCTTTTATCTGAGAGTAGAAGCAAGCCTGCCCTGTCCCCTCCTCATCCGACATGGAACAAAGCGCTATAGTCTTTGCATCATTCCTTACTGCCTCCTCATCCCGTGCTGCCCCCCTCTCCAGACTTAAGGGCTGTGTCGGGGCACAAGGATGGGTACCTGCTAGGCTGGCTTCCCAAGGGGCCATGGGAAACTCCAGGGCAGTTTAGCCTTGTGCTCTAAGTCACAGTGGCTCTGTGCTCTTCTGCAGGTGGTCTTTTGGTGTACTTTTGTGGGAAATCTTCACTCTGGGTGGCTCCCCATATCCTGGTGTGCCTGTGGAGGAACTTTTCAAGCTGCTGAAGGAGGGTCATCGAATGGACAAGCCCAGTAACTGCACCAATGAGCTGTAAGCTTAAGGGGGTCCTGAGATCCTAAGCCAGATCCAAGGGGAAGCGGGGTGGGCAAAAGGGAGAGGGCTCCGTGTTTGGAGGAAGTGGTACTCTCTACCCGGGCTCTCTGGTCCAGCCATGCTGTTGGACCAGAGCAGGTCCAACATCATCATCCTGCTGCCAGGTACATGATGATGCGGGACTGTTGGCATGCAGTGCCTTCTCAGAGGCCTACCTTCAAGCAGCTGGTGGAAGACCTGGACCGCATTGTGGCCTTGACCTCCAATCAGGTAGGGCTGCCCTGGGCTGGAACCTGGACCATCATCACACAGGCGCATACAGGGACACTTACTTAGAAAGGTTTGTGCGCCTACCTACCCTTCCCTCCTTTCACAGGAGTATCTGGACCTGTCGATGCCTCTGGACCAGTACTCTCCCAGCTTTCCCGATACCCGGAGCTCTACCTGCTCTTCAGGGGAGGACTCTGTCTTCTCTCATGAGCCGCTACCAGAGGAGCCCTGTCTGCCCCGACACCCTACTCAGCTTGCCAATGGTGGACTTAAAAGACGCTGACTACCAACCCTCCCCAGTCCTTCTTCAAATCTATCATTACCTACGCCCCTCATCCACGGTTCCCTGCTGGACACACTGCCTTTCCCCTTCTTCCTTCCTGCTGGCAGGAGCCAGTGCCTACCTGAGGCCTTCTTGTGTGGCCTACCTCTCCTGTCCCAGCTCCCTCTTTCTCCTCTTCTCAACCTGCTGTGTGAGAGAGGTGCAGAGGCAGGTACTTGGTGGTGGTCACTTCTTTCTTCCGAGGTGTTGGACCAAGATGCTGCCCTGCTGCCTGGCACTGCTGGGAGGTCTGGGGAGTGGAATGAACTGGCGTGCAAGTGAGAGCTGACAGGCTTGTTCTTGTTGACCCAGTAGCCCCTTGTGTTCTGGTTGCAGGTGCCCTGGGTCTTCCACAGCAATGAGATCACTGCTCAGGCCTTAATTGAAGGCAACCTCTGCTCCAGATGGCTGGTACCAGTGGCTTCTTAATTCCAATACTAATTTGCTTTGCTGACCAAATACCTGGTACCAGAAGATGGTGTAGTAGAGCCTGGGAGCAGTGATGTGGCCCTGGGGCCCAGCCCTGGACTAGGGACTCTGTACATAGCTATGAAGAAAACACAAAGTGTATAAATCTGAGTATATATTTACATGTCTTTTTAAAAGGGTTGTTACCAGAGATTTACCCATTGGGTGAGATGCTCCTGGTGGCTGGGAGGCATCAGTTGCTATATATTAAAAACAAAAAAAGGAAAATGTTTTTTAAAAGGTCATATATTTTTTGCTACTTTTGCTGTTTTATTTTTTTAAATTATGTTCTAAACCTATTTTCAGTTTAGGTCCCTCAATAAAAATTGCTGCTGCTTCATTTTTATACTGGGTGTGTGGGAAAGGAGCAGATGTCCACTGCAAAGGAGGGAAACTGGAGTCTAAGGGTCTGTGAGCTGCGCAGTGACCACTGTGTGCTTTCTGCATTTCCATGTAACCTCTTCCTCCTAGGCAGTACACTCAAGCCTCTGACAGTCCTACCTCTGCTGCTTTGGGAAAGGCAGGAAAAGAAGACTACAGCCCTGCAGAGGGCAAAGGGCCAGTCACAACAGTCTGCCGATCGTTTCCTCAGAGGTGTCTGTCTGTATGTGTGTTACACACAAGCTGGCTAGAATATGCAGGGGGTAGAGCTAAAGTGATTTCAGTGAGGGACGTGTCAGCCAAGGCTAGCTCTGCATCCAAGTGCCTTGCTGAGTCTTTCCCAACCTACGCTCCATTTTCCTCCTCCATATGTGCCCTCCCCTTACTGTGTCTGTGACCAGACAGCATTTGTTGGGTCTGTCACTGATCTTGGCTTCCTAGAGTTTTTCCTATACAAACTCCATACATCCCTTAGGAAAGGGAAAAATATTCTGTTGGGTTTGGGGCTTGACAACTTACTTCTGCCACCTGCTGGTTGTCACTGACTCTTCAAGTGGCACCTTGGTACCTTATTGCTCAAACCAGTGCTTTTCAGCTTCTCTGTCCTTAATGCTTTTTGCTGGGTTACTGCTGAATACAGGAGTTCAATATGCTTTTATTCTGTAGGGAAAATAGGATTGCTGCTTTAAATTCCATTCCGAGCTGGGTAGTTTTTGGCAGCTGTGGTTTTGGTTACCACTGTAAAAAATCTTACCATTGTTTCTCTTTGTAAACATGTAACCGTCAAAATACTACAAATTTTGTTTATGTTGAAATAAGGCGTAATTTGGTGAACAGAGCTGGGAGGTGAATTTGAACTCAAACTCATCTGCTTAGAGACCAGATCGTAGTGTGTTTCTTGAAATAGTGATAATTTCTGTCTTGGCTGAGTGTCGATTCAGTGTTGTGGGACTGGGTGGGAGACTCTAGAAAGGCTTTTTGTGCCTCCAGGAGAATTGCTAGAAAACGGTGAGGCACTGGTGTTATAGCCGTGGAACCCTGGCTGTTACTACTCAAATTTGCCCACAGATACCCCAGAGACAGAGCTGGCTGTCAAATCACAGATAGTAAAATTGACCTGAAAGAAAATGAAATGACTGCTTTACTTAGATGACCAGATTGAGTCCCTTGGGAAAACGAATTCAGCTTATCTAATGAAGATGTGCTGTCTAAGCACTGAATCTGTCTGGTTTCTAAAGGTTGAAAGATCAGGCCTGGGGACAGCCAGGGCATTAATCAATACTGCCTTTCCATCTTTCCTAATTGCCATAGGCTGGAGATCATCAGTCCCTTGGCTCTATTAATGTAATGTATTGATCTCAGGTAAGTAAGATTGAAAATAGATGAAGTAAAAAAAAAAAATCTATCCTAATGGTAATAGAGTCTTTGTGTTGATCAGCTGCCACCGGGTGGAGCCAGCAGGCTAAAATCCCCCACAGTATTAGGTAATGTGCCAGTTTGCTCTGAAGCAACATGATTCTGACCTTACCTACAAGTGGGGATTTTTAGCTGGATTTAGCATTCCAAAACATTGGCCAACACCAGTTTGATTTATGTACAGAATTAGACATGGCGCAAGTGCAGGGCCACCACCAACTATTGTAGCAGAACTCAGATGTGAGCATCTAACGTCACTACAGGTGAATATTAGAGAGGGCCTGAAACTGTATCCACTGAGATTATTAGCAGCTGGAAGAGCCCAAGCACCTGCATCTGCAGTAGAATAGAGAGAAAGGAAGGGGTGCAGGGGACTTTGAAGCAACCTGCCATGGCCGTCTATTCCCCTAGCTGGTGTAAGCCAAGAAAGGAGACCAGGAAGGACCCTGACGGGGCTCTGGGGCAATCACCTCTTACCTGACACAGCATTCAAACCGTCTTTACTGCCTCCCAGGCTCCTGTTCTGGCACATGAAAGCGTGTTGCATTTAATGGCTGTGCTGCCAATTACAGAGGCTCCAGTGCTGTGCTGGGAAGATCCTCAAGCAATTATGTGCATTTTTGCATTGAAATCACCCATGGGGGAGCATGTCCATTCTTGGAAATCTGTGACTGTGGTTATAGCACTAATAGTGAGGTTTCAGCCTGGGGCTACAGCAAAGTATCCCATGATGAAAACAAACACTGATGCCTTCTTATAAGGATCAAGTGTCTTATTGGCCTAGATGTTAGCAAAAACAGGTGAGGATGCATAAGGGAGTTCAAGGCCAATCTGGGCTGCATGAAACCTTACCTCAAAATCAAAGAAAAAAAACCAGAGGCCAGCTGTAGCCAAAAGTGACCATGGCCCTTGACCTAACCATTCCCATTTTGCCCAGGGGGAAAGCCAGAAAGAATTGGTAGGGCAGCCACATATGAATCATCCATCTGAAACAGGATTAAGCCAGTTACCTAGCTAATCCCTTTTCCTATATTCAACACCTAAAATGTACACTAATAAAGCTTTTTAAAAACCCCACTGTTTCAAAGGAGGGAATCTTTGTTATGAAGCATCTGACTAGATCAATGGCAACATCATGGAATGCTGTATTTCCATAGTGGGGCTGCATCAGTCTACAGAAACCAGTTAACAAACGGTGGATCTCATCCTCAGAAGGTGTTCTAGGCTCCAGGAATATCGCAGTTGGTAGTGTATGAAACCCAACAGCTTCCTCAGAAGTTCAAGGTCATCCTTAATAAAGAGTTTGAGGCCAGCCTTGACCACATTAGACCTTTGTTACCAGGCTAAATGTGCTGGTACACACCTTTAATCCCAGCATTCTGGAGGCAGAGGCAGGTGGATCCCTGTGAGTTCAACCAGGCCAGCCTGGTCTATATAGTGAGCTCCATCCAGGCTGGCCAGAGCAAAATAGTGAGAAAACAACAAAAACTCCAAAAAATACGTAAAGTGCCTGTTCTTGCTGTGAACAGCTATTGGCATTTCTTATTTAGGTGATCCTGGATTGGGCAGGTCTGACTTTAACGTGGTATGATTCCCAACTAACTGCTTTCAATTTCATAGTAAGTAAATCTAACTTCATTATGCACAGGAAGAAATACCTTTTCCCTTCTCATGTCTCTCCAGCCCCAAAGGAAGAAAGCTCTTGTTTGGCTACTTGGCAATGGAAAACAACATAAATATCTGACAATAATACTTGTTACCAAGTAGCAAAGGATTGTATTATGCCAACCTCTATGACTAACTGGTGACAGACTGACCAGAAAAACATACCCAGCACAAATGGCTAAGCCTTAAACCCTTAATTATATTTCCAGCAAAATAGTGGCTAATGAAAGCCATATGTGCTAGAATGTGTCCACCTCTCAGATTCCTGGAGCCTTTGTGGGCCCAAGAGGGATATGTCTGTCTGAACAACTAAGCAGCAGCCAAGCCCTTTTGATTGTTAAATCTGTTCAACGTCTCATTTTCTTGAAGAAACTTTGTCTTCCTGGGAAGTTATCTATCCTGCACTTAGGGCACTGTTCGCACTAAGGAATCGCTCTGAAAAAGTCAGGTACTGTTAAAAGTGGCTTTCAGCATTTCCGTGCTGTGATTTGGACTTTCTAGTCATGAGAGGCAGAGGTATCCAGGCAGCAAGCTGTTTCCATTATGCAGTACTTTTCCTGTTAAAAGATGTGTTAAAAGATACAGTTGGACCTGGTCACACAGGTCTGTAATCTATTCTATTTTGGAGACTGAATGAGGATTAAAAATTCAAGGCTATGCCGGGCGTGGTGGCACATGCCTTTAATCCCAGCACTTGGGAAGCAGAGGCAGGTGGATCTCTGTGAGTTCAAGGACAGCCTGATCTACATAGTGAGTTCCAGGACCACTGGGGTTTCAGGGAGACCCTGTCTCAAAAAGTCAAAAAAATAAAATAAAAATTGAAAGCTAGATTGGGCAATTCAGATCTTGTCAGTGATGGAGTACTTGCCTAGCATGCATGAGGCCTCTGCATTCGATTCCCAGCATTGCTCCCGCTGTCAAATGCACACGAACAGGAAGCTGTTCGATGTGGTGGGGTAGGTTTTTACACAGTTTAGTAAAATGACAATGATAGAGAAGAAAGAGACTGCAATTGCATTTCTCCAAATGGCCTGAGCTTCATGTCACAGCTTACATCTCCTGGAATGGTTACAAGGCCTCTAAGGACTAAAATGGCTGCTCCTCTATCTCAAACCAGATACAGAGTCTTAGCTGGAGTTCCTTCTTGGATGCCACTGTCCAGGGAAAATGGCTGGAGAAATTGAGCTCCTCAAGTGGTCTTTAGACTCCTTTTGAATTGGCCTTGCTGTTCTGTGAGGTCTTCTGTGATTTGGCCTGGATGGTCTAGGTATAAAACAAGATGTTTAGGTCTTGGTCACAACCAGTTTAAGCTCTTCAGGCATCCCTCTTTACCTTCTTAACCAAACTAATGACCGTAGCCAGATGAGATGGCTCATGCCTATAATCCCTGCCCTCAAGGCAGGTAACATGGGAGAACCATCATGAGTTCCAGCAAAGTCTGGGCTGCAGAGTGAGCCGCCCCCCCCCCCCCCCAAAAAAAAAACCCAACCAAAACAGCCGCAAAGTTAAATGTATTTATTACCTTGGTAATAAAGGTGTAGATGTGAAAACAGGGCTCAGGATCACTTACTGGATGCTCACCCAGCCATGGGTTATCCTACTGTGGAACTGTAACAGTTCATCCCCCTCATCCCCAGCCTGTGACTGCTTGCTTGTCATACTTTCCACCCTTCCCCCACATTACTTTACTCAGATGGGAAAAAGTGGGCACACAAGTAATTTCTTGTTTACATGCATTTCTCCTAGAATTGTAATTGCTTTCCAGCTAGTACTTCCTGACCTCAGAAGCCTGTATAAGCTATACAACATATGGAAACCATTTCCATCTGGCACATAGGAAAACAAGGATCTGTCTATACTGTAATTAGCTTCTAGACTTTACATGTGTAGGTCCGGTCCACCATGGCTGGTTTTTTTTGTTTTGTTTTTCTTTACTTTTAGATAATTGAGGTTAAAAGATAGTGGTTATGAGATGACTAAAATCCAGCCTACAACTTCCTGTTTGGATGACAGGAAGAATTGTGCAGTGTTTTGTGATACTTATGATTCTAGAGTCTCAGTACAGATAACTAGGGGTAAAAAGGTTTCTCTTTAGATACTTATAACTTCTTTGGAAATAGCTGCTGATGGTGTTATGTGTGATGATGGTACTGGGGGCGGCTCTCTAAGTTCTTCATCCTTAAACATCAGAACAGAGAGTTGGCTGTTTTAAGGCAATGCATGCTAGATCTTCCATGGGTACTAGGGTACTAGGAACTTGTGACAACTACTTTATATTCGGTAGGACTTAAAAGGCAAAAATCTGAAATTTAATTACATATTTTAAAACTTTATCTAAAAACTTTAAAAACAATTATTTTTGGTCATATTGGGGATGGAACCCACAGTCTCTTTCCCACAAGCCTTCACAACTGAGGTACATGTCAGTCCAAATGTTAATTTTTTAAGAAACAAATCAAACAGCATAATAAATGTTCTTTATTACAGAGCAGAATTGTATTGAATACAATGAATTGTTTCATTATGGGGATTAGAAATATAGCAAATAAGCTGGGTGTGCATGCCTATAATCTCAACATTTGGGAGGCTGAAGCAGAGGATCATGCCTTTAAGCTGGTCTGTGTTACACAGAGCTTGTAAAAAGGAAAAGAAAATTGGCTTTAAAACTTTTTTTCAGGGGCTCGGTGGTTAAGAGCACTCGCTGCTCTTGCAGAGGACCCAGGTTCTGTTCCTAGCACCCATATAATGGCTCACAATAGTCTGTGACTCCAGTTCCAGCAGATCTGCCTCTGTGGGCACTAGGCAACACACGTGGTACACATACATACATGCAAACAATACACATAAAATAAAAGTAAATCTTTAAACCGGGCGTGGTGGCACACGCCTTTAATCCCAGCACTCGGGAGGCAGAGGCAGGCCCATCTCTGTGAGTTCAAGGCCAGCCTGGTCTACATAGTTCCAGGCCAGCTGGGGCGACGGAAGACCCTGTCCAAAAAAAAAACAAAAAAAAAAAAAAATCTTTAAAACGTTTTTTTTTCGGGTCTTTGTGAGACAGGGTCTCCCTGTAGCCCCAGCTGGCCTGGAACTCAGAGATCTGCCTGCCTCTGCTGGGATTAGAGGCATGTGCCACCACACCTAGCTTTAAAACTTTTTTTTAATCTTAATCAAATAGGAAGTAACTAACCTTAATTCCCTTTAGCTGAGGTGCAGAATCTACCAAGTTCTCTTGTAACTTGGGGGAAGATGATGCCACAGTAAGGTTTGTCTTTGGAGCCTAGGGAGAACATCACATAAGTGTAAGTGTAAGCTTTCTTCTGCTCTATCTGAAACTCACAGTAGTGTGTGCCTTTAAGTACAACCTGCCTTCCACTAAATCCCTACTATGTAGCACTCTCTGGCCTAGATCTCACAGAGACTCACCTGCCTCACCTTCCAAGTGCTGGATTAAAGGTGTAGGACACCATGCTGGACCTTAACCCCTGCCCCCCTCCCCAAAAGAGCAGCAAGTGCTCTTAACCTCTGAGTCATCTCTCCAGACCTGGTAGTTTTTCAATTTTAAAGGAAGTTTTCAAAGACGTTAGGGCTAGTTGGCCCAAATTCCCAAAATAATGTTCTGATTCAGAGGGAGAGGGAGGGCTATACAAGGAGCTACAGGGATAAGGGGAAGAAGGAGCTCAAGAGAGGTGGGACCACAGCAGACAGGAATTATCAAGGGAGAAATGGGGATAACATTAAAAGGAGGGCATGGAGGGAGGTGTCTTTGTTTCTTCATCGCTGTGACAAAACACTCTGACCACTACCAACTTGGGGAGGAAAGGGTTTATTAGCGTACATCTCCCAGGTTGTAGTTCATCCGGGAGCCCAAGGTAGGAACCCAGGCCAGGAACCTGGAAGCAGGAGCTGGAGCACAGACCATGGAGGAACACTGCTTACTGGCTTGCTCCCTTGGCCCCTGCTCAGCCTGCTTTCTTATGCAACACAGGCCCACCTGCCTAGGGATGGCACCACTCACAGTGGGCTGGGCCCTCCCACATCACTCATCAAGAAGATGCCCTTCAGACATGGCAACAGGACAGTCCAATAGAGGCAGTTCCCCAACTGAGGCTCCCTCAACCCAGGTGTGTCAAGTTGACACTAAAGCTATCCAGCACAGGAGGGTTAGACAGGAAGAGAGAGAAAGGAGGAATAAATAATGCCTAGCTAGTATAAAAAACCAGAGGGAATCATATTAATCCAAAAACCTGAAAAATTATGCATACAATATCCCTACACGAGTCCATGTGTATAGCAGAAGGCTACATAACAAGAAACTGCCAGACAGGAGAAACCTTCCTTTGAGTTGTTGGCCAGGGTGGTCCAAGAGACTCCCAAAATTACACAGGCTATTGCCACAGCCTTTGATGGCCTCCCAGAACTTGATGGTAAGACCCTACTGCTGAAGACAGAACATACTTCAGACACAGGATTTGGTAAAATGGAGCTAGAACTGACCTGGAAGTCACCTCCCCTGAAGGCTAGCTCTCATAGCTTTGGAGAGCACTATGCAAGCTGCTAAGGGAGAACAGCAATTGATGGTCCAACCCCAGCTTCAAGGCCTAAAAACCACATCGATGACCAGCACAGCAAATGATATTAGTGCAGTAGTGGCACTTTTATCTTGGGGCTAATCAACAGCTACCTAATTAGACTTAAAGGCTACTCAATGGGAGGAAACTCAGGTGTACTGTAAAACTTGCCAAATACCCATAGCTGAATAGGTCATAGATCTTAGAGAAAATCCCAAGACTGTCACATTCTTAGACAAATGTAATTTCTTACTATGAGCAAAATATGGATCTTTAAATTTACAGACAAGTATCCCAGTCACCACCCATCAAAGAAATTTCTTTTTCAAGAGACAGAGATTATTACAGAGGTCCACAACTGGTCACACACAGATTGTCTGTGAATTGCCCAAGTCTAAGTGGCAGATCTATGAAGCAACCTCTACAACTAAGGCTTATAGAACAAGGGATGAAGAGAACAGCAATGCATCTTTCAGTTCTCATCAATGAAGCTCCCTCATGCAACAGAGGGCCAGGAACACAAAAGGTTACAAATGGCCAAAATGTAGAGAATAAGAATCTACAGAGTGTGGGTCCTTGCACAGGACTTCTGTATTAAAATCCTTTCTCCCAAGGGCTCAGGGACCATTGCTGAAGAGGGAGTGGAAAGATTGTAAGAGCCAGGGAGGCAGTGCATGACCATATGGAAATAGAGTCTTACAGGCTCTTGGTGTCAGCATGCACAAGACCCATGCAAACTCAAGCAGACAAAAACACAGCATAGAACTGGACAGCAGGCCCCCAGTATTAGTGGAAGAATTATTGGCAGCTGATTCCTGCTGGGTGAGGAACAGCTGATCTTCTTAGGACTCTAGATAGGCTGACTAGACCTAGTGGATGAACTTGCACTGAGGGACCTCTGCAGACACTAAGTTGACATGATAGGCCTTAACACAAATGATGGAATCCATGAACTCCAGTGGGGGGCAGGGAGCAACAGGAAGGCGTGGATGCCGATGGAGAAGAGGGTATAAAGATGATTAAGATCTCTGAAATACAACTAAGTCAACTAAAAAAACAAAAGAAGCAAGTGCACTTAACCTCTGGATCATCTCACCAGACCTGGTAGTTTTATAATTTTAAGTAAGTTTTCAAAGATGTTAAGGCCAGATGGCCCAAATTCTGAAAGTAAAGTTTGCTCTGACTCCAAAAAGTGACAAGACACTGGTGGAAAGGCATGCTGTGATGGAAATGCAGGTTCTGCACCAAATCACTCACCTCTGTATTTGGTGCTATCTCAACAGGTTTTGGCTTCACATCAATCAGGTAGAAGGTACGTGACAGGAGCAAAAGAGAAGGGGGGATGTTCTCCTTCAGGTGGAGGTCCAGCCACGGGATAATGAAAGGGAATAAAACATGGAGCTATGGACTGTTGAAGCCAGATGGCCCTAACTAGGTCATCTGTTGCTTGCTTGCAGCTTACCCTCAATGCACTCTGATAACCCATGGCATAAGGATAAGAACACCAGCTCAGGCTTCTATACCAGTGCACAAGGATAAAAACAGCTCAGGCTATACCAGAGCAAACACCTAGCCACCACACTAGAGTGGGGTCACTAAACCCTCCACCCGGCTGTGACCCAAGTAGCCAAGTATCTTAGCAAAAAGTAGATAATGTGAAAAGAACAAATGAGGTACATGCCTGTAATCTAGGCTGAGGCAAGATGTCAAGTTTAAGACAAACCTGAGATACCTGGTGAGAGTTTGTCTTGAAATATTAAAAATCAGTCTATTAACCAAAGAAATAAAGCCGTGTGTGTGTGTGTGTGTGTGTGTGTGTGTGTGTGTGTGTATTGTGTGTATTTTTGAGACAGGGTCTTGCTATGTAGCCCTGGCTGGTCTGGTCTGTAATTTGCTGCTTGGACCAGGCTAGCCTCACACTCACAGAGATCCACCTGCTACTGCCTCCTGAGTGCTGGGATTAAAGGTGTGTTCCACCACACCCAGCTCAACATTAGAATGATGATGTAATACAAGTTTTTAAGCATCAAATTGGCCAAAGCTTTTCTTTTTTGCTATAGTCATGACTAACTTGGGGCCCTCCTGTCACAGACTCCCAAGTGCTGTGATTACGAGCATGAACTGTTATCTGTAACACTGTTTTAAAATCTTTACATAATGGATGACACATACTGTACTGTAATTTTATTATTTTATGTGTATGCACGTATTGCCTGCATGTAGGTTAAGTGCACCCATGTCGTGCAATGCCCTCGGAGGTCCGAAGAGGCTGTCAGATCCCCTAGAACTGGAGTTATGGACAGTTGTTAGCTGCCATGTGGGTGCTGGGATTCAAACCCGGGTCTTCTGCAAGAGCAACCAGTGTTCTTAACCACTGAGCCAGCTCTCCAGCCCCTGTACTTTCCTTTTTTATTATTGTGTGTGGTGATGTGGTATGTGTGAGAGGAGTCTGGAAGACTTTCAGAGGTGGTTCTCCTTCCACCGTGGGCTCTGGGGATTGAACTCAGGTGTTAAGGTTTTTGAAGCAAGTGCTTTTACCCAATGAGCCATCTTGCTGACCTTTGTCCTTTGCTTTTTTCCCACTGAAATATCTTTAAGATTGATTCATGTCAGAAGATGGAGCACTTCCCCCTTAAATATCTGGATAGGTTCCCATTGTATAGAAATGCCACAACTATTTGATAATTATATTAATGAACTTTGGGCTATTTCCAATCTTTTACTATTAAAAATAGTGCTGCAAGGACAGACATCGTGGCACATGCCTTTAATCCCAGCCTTCAGGAAGCAGAGGAAGGAGGAGCTATGTGAGTTCAAGGCCTGCCTGGTCTACATAGCAACTTCTAGACCATCCAGATCATTACACAATGAGATCCAGACTCAGTAACAGTAAAAATGGTGCTGCAATGGCTAATCTTGTGCATTTGTGATTTTATATATCTTCAAGAATATAGGATAGGGGTTGGAGAGAGATGGCTTAGTGGGTTGAGTGTATACAGCTCTTTCAGAGGACCCAAGTTCAGTTTTCAGCACCCGTGTCAAGTGATTCACAACTGCCTGTAACTCCAGCTCCAGGGGGATCTGGTCCCTTTCCCTTTACCATCCACAGGCACCTGCACTTACATATACACACATACACAAACAATAAAAAGATACAAGATAGGGGCTGGAGAGATGGCTCAGCGGTTAAGAACACTGGCTGTTCTTGCAGAAGACCTGGGTTTGAATCCCAGCACCCATAGGTAGCTAACAACCATCTGTAACTCCAGTCCCAGGGGATCCAACACCCTCTTCTGACCTCCTAGGGCATTGCACG